GGGGGTGGTGGGGGGGAGGGGGAAGGGGAGGGGGAGGGGGGGGTGGGGGGAAACCCAGCCGCAGCCACTGGATCTTGAGCCCTGAGGACAAAGAATGGAAAATCCTAGTTAGAGGGGCTGCAAGTGGGAAACTGGCTGTGTAGCTGCTGCCATCTCAAGCCACCTCCTGAGCAGCCTTGCCCCACCCTTACCCAAGCTGGCAGGATGCAGGGGACATCCAGGACAGGGAGATGATGTCAGTATCACTAGTCTTTAAGGCAATCTGGGAGTGGTCAGTCAGGCTGCCCTAGAGTAAGATCTTATCCACCTGCACCAGGCCTGGCCAACAGTTGTCCATGTGGTTGAAGAGGTGAGAAAGGACCTGAAGTCCCAATTAGGAGCAAGGTCAGTCCCTTCCCTGAACTTACTTCTGAGGGGTCTTGATGACTAGATGGACAGTGAGCCCATCCTTGATCCCATGCTGATTCAGGGTGTCTCCGTCCTTGAGGATCTTGCCCGCGAAGATCAGGACCAGCTGATCCTGCTGCGCCTTAAACCTCCGGGAGATTTCCTCCTTGAACTGTGGTCAAGAGGCAGAGATCACTGTGGAGGCTGCCTGTACTGCACTGCCAGGACTCTACTCTCAACTCTGCCCCTCTAGCTGCAATTAAGTTAACAGTGAGATACATCTGCTTTTTCGAGTAGTTCCACGATACAGTCTCCCAACCCTAGAAAGCCCCAGCTGCTATCTACCACCCAGTTCTCTGTGAAAGTTACCACCTGGGCAGCCCTCCCGATCCTAACTCCTTCAACTAGCCTTGGTCTCAGGCTGTCTCTCTTCAGCTTTCTCTTGACTCGAAGTTTCTCTCTGCACTTTATTCCCAGCTTCCTCATAACTATAACAAATAGATCCAGCTGTTGAGTAATCTAGTGTGTCAGTTACTATCCCGGACATCTCATTTATTTATTTATTTAGAGGCAGGGTCTCTCTATGTAGCCTTTAATGTCCTGAACTCTCTACGTAGACCAGGCTGACCTCAAACTCACCCAGAAGAGATCCGCCTGCCTCTGCTAGGATTTTAAGGATAAGGATCTGAGGGGGGGTAGGAATTCAGGTTTGTATATCAGTATCTCCATCAGACACACTCTCAATAAGAGCCGTGTTCCAACTCAGCCTTTCTGGAAGGACTTTAAATTCTTTTTTCCCCCTCGTGACCGGGTTTCTCCGTGTAGCTCTGGCTGTCCTGGAACTCAACTCTATAGACCAGGCTGGCCTCGAACTCACAGAGATCCGACAGCCTCTGCCTCCCTGAGTGCTGGGATTAAAGGCGTGCGCCACCACCGCCGGGCCAGGACCGTAAAATCCTTGCATGGGAGAGCAATAGTGGTATCAAAGGCTACTCTGGGGTGAGTTAGACTCTCTAGATTATATCAGCTCCTCCAAAACACAACACATACTCTAATTATAAACAGTGCACTTGCTAAGCAAAGATCCCTCGCTTCCAACCAGATGGCCTATCCTAAGCCCCGCCTATTTGCAATTCTGGAGCAGCTTCAAGCAGTGGGGAACACAGGCAATCGTCCCTCGCTCATTCAACATTATTTTGTTGAGCACCTACGGAGCTCAATAAATCCTTTAGAGCAGAAAACTGAACAACACAACCGTTTCGATGTGCGAGCAGGAAGGATCTGTACGGAGAGAGAGTACCCTCACCACGCGACTCTCCCGGGGGAGCTTAGCCACAGCTCACTCGGGCCACACTGTGCCTCGGCGCCTGGAACCTCCACCAGTAACGGTGGCGCACTCTACCCTCAAGCCGAGGACCCTCGGGGCGCCCGCATGCCAGGTGCCTCTTTCTCAAGCTCCCCCACCACGCCCCCAGCCCTGGTAGCGTGGCCAAACCCGTCGCACCACGCTCGCCGGACTAGCCCAGGCAGGGCGCCCCCTACCCGCCCCCTCCGCCCTC